GCAGCTGCTTCCGCAGGGCTACTGGGCTACCAAATCCCGCCGTCTACCTACCTCCTCTTTTGACTCTATCCTCGGCCGCCATTTCCACCTGCAGGTGACACGATGGCGGTAGCCGCCCTAGCTAGTTATCGGGAGGCCAGGGAGATGCAGGGACCGTGTGAACACGCTGACTCCATGATTGATAGGCGGATCGACGAGCACCGACGATGGAGGCGTCGGGTATCCCGTGGCATGTTACGGTGGTGGCGTCCACAGGGCTGGCGGCCGGATCTGGATGACGCGTTGGCTCGTGCTGGTAGTTGGGTGAAGGCGGGCCCAATCGGGGTCATGCGAGCCTGTTGCTCGACTCATGTTTGTCAGCGGGGTTGCTTTGGCAGACGGCTTGAGCACCTGCCACCCAACTCGGCCAGGCCGTGGTGGCGGCATGGAGATGGGTTAGTGTGGCGCTTATCAGATGTGGTAGTTGGAGGTGCATCGGGGATGCTAATTGGCATTTTGCAGTGTGCTGGTGTTGTGGTTGTGCGTCATCTCTCTATGGTCGCGTGAGCTTTGACCCGAGTGTACGTTGGTGGTGCGGTTGGGCTCAAGGACGGCACGGCGGACTATTTTTGGTGGCGGGTTAGCTCCGAGGTGTCGAATGGTGGTGGTTGCATGAGGGATGCAATGATGGTGGCGGTTCGGATGGAGCAGTGGTTTGGAGGGGTGCTTGCTTGTGTGGGGTTGAGCTGGACCTCGTGTGTCGGCTGGTCCAGGGGATAGTGGTTGTAGTGGTGTCAACATCGCTTTGAGCTTGTTGTCATAGTGTGGTGTGGCAGTGTTGTCATTTTTCTCTGTTTGGCATAGTTCACCATTGATGAATATAGAAGAAGAGTCGCGGCCCAGTCGCAGCTTGAAGCATTTATGCTTCCTCCCAGGTGCCTAATGTAGTGAGGCATTAGTGTCGATGGCATCCCTGTTGTTGGTTTGGCTCTCCTTGCCTCTACCGGTACCCTTGGGTCGCCTCTGAGAAGGTCAGTGCTTCGAGGGGCCTTTTTTCTTCTCCTCAACGTCCTTAAGGGTGTCGATCATGTACAGGTCGTGGCCCAGCTGTCAATATGGGGTATGGCCATAGGTGAAGCCGCTCGTGATGTGTCACCGTCATTTTCATACATGTCGGTTGCTTCATCAGAGCCGTAGTTTAGCATGTTGGTTAAGTCCTCGATTGTAGCGACTAGGTGGATGGTGGGAGGGGCACAAATTTCCCTATCGTCAGCTTTACATCCGATCTAATCATAGACTAAGGATGACATCGCTAGATCTGGATTCGTTCTAGCATCTCGTTTAACTCCGAAAGATCCTCAATATCCATGGCCTGACTGTAGGCCATGTTGATATGGAAAATGCTCCATGGGTTGTTTGACGCAACTTCATGTTCTTGGTTGGCCAGGGTTGACTCCTGGTTCACCGACTGAGAGGTCGGGCCCAAGTTTAATGCAGAGTCTGAGGTCGGGCTAGACTTGAGGTCAAGATCTTAGGTGGCAGTGGTCGGATCCGTGCTTAAAATTGTGTCCAACGTGGCGATGATCAAGTCCATACTCAAGGTCGGCTCTGACACGAGATCTGATCTGAGGCCCGGATCAGGGGTTGGCTCCGTGGTTAAGGTCAGGATGTCCGAAGCGTTCTCAAGCCGATCCGGCATCCAGCCAGAGAGGGCGAGATTACTGCGCGAGTCGGCGATGCACTCCAAGCTCGCGAAAGTGATGATCTGGTTTGGGACGAAGTTTTCGACGCGGTCGAGGTGACCGGCTGAATTGGCGTGCAGAACAATGCTGCCAAACGCAAAAAGGTGGTCGGGGACGAATATGTCACCGTAGCCAGTGTCGTTCTTGATCTGCAAATAAGCCATTGATCCTTTTCGACCACACAATGGAACTCTCAATGAAAATACCAATGTCGGTACTAAAACTTGCAGATCTCGGGTAGGGAGTCCTGAGCTATGGATCTAGAAACGATAGTAACAGGAGACGAAGGGCACGATATTTTACCCAAGTTTGGGCTCTCTCGAAGAGGTAAAACCCTACCTCCTGCTTGATTATATTGATGATGGAGTATCGAATACATGTTTGACCTAGCTACCTCGAGATCGTATGTTGTGTTCTAAACCGTAAGGCTGGTTATTGTGATTCTGTCTCTACGGACTAAACCCTCCGGCTTATATAGGCACCAGGGGTATCTAGGGTTACACATGGTTGGTTTTCAACTAGGGATAATCATGCCAATTGGTGGAGCAGTCCCTGAAGTACACGATAAGTCTTCGACTGAGTCCATCTTGGTCACGTTTGAGATCGAGGCTTCCAGAGTCCTTCCTTGTGAGATCGGTGGGCCCTAAGCTCAGCCCATGGACAGTGGACCAACTAGGTTGGTACCTCTTAGTCCAAGACAACGTCAATTAGGCTTTGGGTGAAAGGTTTGGGTTCGATGCAGGTCATTGCGGGTGATGATGGCTCCCATGGGCGTCCTTCTCCTCCTTGGAGACATTACTGAAGAGTGCTTTCCTCACCACTGGGACGTATCTGACCAGAGTGGAAGAGATGGTGGTGTCTTTTGGTTGGGCTGGATTTCCCCGAAGGCTCAATAGGGCGGTCGTGCAGATCATGGAGAAAGCTTTGTGATCAACAACGGTCGATGCCGGGGTCAATTATGGATCTGCTAGATAAGCAAAAAATATTGATCGCACGAGGAGCAAAAGAAACTGGTAAGTGCATAACATAAGATCAAGTAATGATGTAGTTGTTTCTTTGCTTTGAGGTTGCTCACCACGTATGACATGTGGCAATGATGTAATTGTTTCTAAGAGTGATACCTCTATTTTTATTTTGCATCATGGGTCCTCTATCGCCTATCTTGTTTTTTCATTGACAATATAATTCTCACTACTAATTAACACCACGACCACTCTCCATTCAATTATTCACTCACCCAAATCTTCCGTCTCCATGAATGATTTGGGTGATGTAGAACACTTCCTTCATGGCAACGATGTAATTGTTTCTAAGAGTGATTCCTCGATTTTTATTTTCCATTATGGTTCCTCTACCACCTTTTTTTTCATTGACAATATAATTCTCACTACTAATTGACACCACAATCACCCTCCATTCAATTATTCACTCAAATCTTCCTTCTCCATGAATGATTTGGGTGATGTAGATCACTTCCTTCAGATTAATGCCGTAAGTAATTGATGTGGCTTGCTTATCTCTTAATAACAGTACACGCTCAAACATCTAGACCGTGTGCACATGCTCAACTGCAATCCCATAAACATACCCATTTATACACGTTCTAAGGAGCCTTCCATGAAGGGCACTCCTTTACAAAACCACACCCACTATCGCAGTCTTTGAGGGGCTTTTCAATATCTCACACTAACCCGGCAAGACACTGTTTATGCGGTGCAACAAGTGTGCTCATTTATGCATCAACAGAGGGACATCCATGTGCAACTAATTAAGTGCACACTACCCTATCTAGGCCGTAAGGGGAATGGCCGTTGTGGTCATTGTTCCGGAAAATGTAGTCACACAATATGAAGTTGTTTACCTAGACACTGATGTTTGGAGGGTTACCAACAATGGAGGTGAAGCTTAAACGTCAACATATAAGGGTGGCTATCAACCCTAAGATGCGTTACCGAGGTATAGCACGATCCCGAATCATGGTAGAGTACTGCTCACTGTCGTTGCCTGCACTTTTGCTTCACTAATTGCCGGTACATGCGTGTTTGTGCATAAAATTTCCTCTAATTTGTAGTACTCCCTCCTTTCCAACATCTTAGGCGTATTATTTTGCATGCAATCCTTAATGTAGGGTGCACAATAACAACCTCCCCAACGATCGCGTAATCCTAGTTTCAGATTAGATCGGTCAAACAAGACTAGGTCCAAAGAATCCGTGCATGTCTCCCTCTTTCTTCTGCATGCCTCCCTCGTACAATTTTCGTGCTAATAATTAATACGCCCAAGATATTTTTCCGAGAGCAACCACATAATTCATTTCACTAATAGAAAATAAAGTTACATAGCCAAACACACGTGAAAACTGAAAGACTAACCAGAAAAACACGACTGTCCTAAAAACTTTGCATATAGACTCCTAAAAGATAGAAAAATATAGAATTATCCCTAGCTTCTCCTGCACTGCCGAAGCCAGCGGTCCTCGCCCAAATCTAGCATCGTCAAAGCGCACGCAAAAAAAGACATTGAGCCTCCACCATTGCCAAATCTAGGGAAGCACCATTGCCAAAGAGGCTTTGTAAGTCGATGAACAGGCTCGCTGCAAGCAGCAAGGCACACGTCGATGTGGCACATCGACCGGAGGACATCCCTGTGCTACCTTGGACCAAGATCCGCTGGATCCCATCGACGAGGTCGGGGGAGAACGAGAGATCCACCACCATCGGACCAAACTCCTCGCTCCAGAGCATCCATCTCGCCCTGGCCACAAATGCCGCCGGGAATAGCACATACGCCATCGACATATCAAGAGGCTAATCTCACTAGATCTGAAGAATGGCGAGAGGACCAAGCCACCTACTTCATTGTGCCACCGTGTAGATCTTTAAAATGTGTGGTTACTTGCAGCTCTGGCGGCCGCTTAGCCGCCTCCAGGATTTTCGGAAGGAGGGAGTAGTATGTTTCTCTCAACATTTATTGTCCTCAAATATGTAGCATGTTGCAGACCCGGCATTTTGCTTTTTTGAATTTGTTTTAAGTAGCGATCGAATATACTATTTTTCTTTTTCTTTTTCCCCACAAAAAATAAAGTTTTTTTAATATACTTGTATTTAAGTTGCTTGGAGTAGGGACGTGATTGCCTACAGTTTAGATGCCTTGCCCCCGACGGAAATAGGAGTATACAAGATGGTAATTCCACCCGTGTACCTGCCAAACCGATCCCCACGGCAATACAAATCCATCCGCATAACAACCGTCTTGTAGTCAAAATCGGGAACGAGGAAGATGGCGGCCAAGATGAGGGCGGCCGGTGATGTGTGGTCCAAGCTCCCAGACGAAATTCTCGGCGAGGTCTACGGCCGGATCGCTTCTCCGCTGCACCGCGTCCGCTTCGCCGCAGTCTGTCGCTCATGGCGCGTCGTTAAATCGTGGCAACAGCCGGCGCCGACCTTCCCGTGGCTGATCCTCTCGTCACGGGACGACGACGACGACACGGCGAAGCGGGTGTTCTGCCCCGCGGATGGCGAGCTCCTACGCGTCTCGCTCCCGCCCGAGGCGATCGGCAAGCGGCTGGTCGGGTTTCATGATGGGGGCTGGATCGCCGTCACGTCCGCCATTGCCGGTGGTGAGTCACCACTGATCGTCAATATCTTTTCTGGGGTCGAGGTGCCACTCTCCGCCAAGCAAAGCACCACGCCATGGATCAAGAAGCTAATCTTTTCGGAGGCCCCCACATCCAATCACTGTGTCCTTGCCGCCATCCTCGCGGACAGGCTCGCTGTGTGCAGAGTTGGATCCCAAAGCCATAATAATCAGTGGATATCACAATGGTGTTACTCTTACGATGACATTGCTTTCGGCCATGGGAAGCTCTATGGCTTGCTTAGAAACTATCTATTCATGCACGACATTCACATGACCAACGAAGGTAATCCGGTGGTCAGCACGCCCCACATACTGCGCACGAACCCACTACCCAAGTTTGAGGGAACTGGATTCCACATCAGCTACATCCTTAAGCACGGCAACAAGTTGTTGATGGCCAAAAGAGCATGGTGGTCACAAGAGAACAAGGGCTTTTTCTTCAAAGTGTTTGAGCTCGCCAAGACTAGTAATACACGTCCCGCCTATGGATGGACAGAAGTGACAACATTAGATGATCATGCCTTGTTCTTGAGTGCCAATTGCTCCAGGATGGTGTGCCTACCAGCAGACAGGCGTGACGGAGTAGAGAGTAACCACATATACTACAACAATATCAAATTAATAGGTGATGATAAGTCCATATATAATGATGTAGATTTGACAAAATGTGACAATGGCCAACATTTGTACTGTGGGAAAGACCGCAAGTTCAATGGTGTTGCTATGATTATGTCTGTGAGATACTACGTCACTAGTAGCGACCATAACAATCTCATGTGGCTTCTTCCTCCAGATCTCTAGCCGCTCAATGTAATCGCAGTATGTATAAAGTTGGTACAAGTTAGTACTAGACCAGCATTAATTAATATGGATCAGAGGGAGTAATAGATTTACTATGTTGATTTATATTTTGCATGTCTCAAGGTGGGTGGCAGCCTCTTCCCTGTGATGCCGTGTTGATGTTGTCATGGTAGTCGTCTCTTAGGTTGTGCTGTATTCCCTCCGTTCCTAAATATTTGTCTTTTTAAAGATTTTAAATGGACTACCACATAGGGATGTATAGACATATTCTAAATTGTAGATTCACTCATTTTGTTCCGTATATAATCAGTTGTTGAAATCTCTAGAAAGAGTATTGAAGCTGGTTGTGGTTGGCTCTTGTAGTGGATTATTCTCGCTCTCATGCCTTGTGTGCTCTTGTCCTAATCTGGGTAGTCTGTTTCTCTCGAGTCGCAGATTGCCGACTCTTGGTTAGTGATCCTTAGGTTGTTTTAAACTTTTTTTTAGTTTGGGTTGCGTTGCTTGTATGATTTGTGCGTTTGTTTGATGTTGTATCTTCTTCTTCCTTAATGAATTCACAGGTAGCTGTTTTGCATGGTTAAAAAACATCATACTCTATTCTCCCATCATTCTCGTTATTGTTATTGTTAGAAAATTATGTGATTAAATGGTTAATATGTTAATTACCCTAAGTCAAAGTGGGCCCATTCGTTAATTAGGGGATTAACACTAATTTGTGCCTGTGATTGGGGGGCTAATCTATAATACCTAAATAGCCCATCCTCACTAACCTATTTTTCTCAACATGCAACATGTCCACATCAGTGATCAACATGTAGCCATCCACATCAGCTAATCTGCCACATCATCAAGTTTTTTTTCTATTATCTGAGTCATCCCACCTTTTTTTCTATAGAGGAAGAGGATTACACACCGCACCGTTTTGTTGGGGACGTTTTTTCCCCCAAGAGGTTCCCCGTCCCACGCTTCCTCTTCACCAGGCCCGCGACCTCAGGCAGCGCCGCCTCTCCTTCGCGACCTCCTACCTTCTCCACAGAACTTCTCCCCCACTTCCATCTTCTCTAAAGTCCATTATAACACGGAAGTGGAAAGGATGCAACTCTATATTTATACAGTGACCCGTCAATCGATCACATCAGAGCTAAGGAGATGAGACGGCGAGGTCGAGCTTCAGGTAAAAGTTCAGAATGGTGGCGAGGCGGGGCGACAGCTCGCCGGAGCAACGGCCTTCTCGCTGGTCGCGTTGGAGCCGTTGGCGTCGATCACATCCGAGCCAAGAAGATGAGACGGCAAGGTTGAGCTCCAGGTCAAGGTTCAGACTGGTGCGAGGCGGAGCGACGGCTCACCGGCGGCCTTCTCGGTGGTCGTGTTCGAGCCGTTTGGCGACACTGCTCGCAGCCGTGGCCTCCTCCTCCCACTGGCCGCTCGACAGCGTCAGGACACACACCGCCCGCCCACTGCTGTTGCTTTTGACGTGTGCTTACCTACAGTAACATCTTCTCTGAACATTAATACCCTTCCCCTCCACGCTCACCCATGCCACTTGATCCGTCTCTTCTTTTCCTTCGATGCAGAGCTTGGAGGCCATCTATCCCACGCACTAGCATCACCATCCACCTAATCGACTAGGCTGCACTGCAGCAAGTAGCAGT